AATATATCTGCAATTCTTGTGACAGAAAAAGTAGATTTAATCAAAACTGCAATCAATCAACTGCATTATTAGAAAACAGGATTTTTCAACTCTGGTTTAATTTCATTATAAGCTCCTGGTCTCCGCTTTGCATTTGAGTGATGGTGTGATCTGCTGCAGAACCTCTAAGCTTCTTCACTGAAGTGCCTGGTGGATCTAGATGTGTACACACGTAACCACATAGGCGTTCAAGAACAAAGAGCTACAGGACAGGCACGGAACAGTTTGACAGAATCTACAGAGCAGAGAATGGCACCCAAAAGCCAGTGCACTTGTGTCTCTACTGCTGCATCCAGGGTAAATGCTGTCACAACCCTGGTAAAACCTCTGGCTGTAACCCCAGTACCACCTGAAGAGAGCCGAGCTGGCTGGGTAACTCAGTGCCTTTTCCCAAGGTGGTTTCTCCCTGTCAGGATAGAGGTATGTACAAGAAAGAAGCCTGAATTGCTCCAGATCCTGTTGTAGCTACTTTGATCTCAAAGAGAGCATGATAAAGCTTGCTTCCAAACACCGCTCAATTCCAATCAAACCACTTAAATAAAACAATCTCACGTACAAATTTAGGAAGAGAAAGAATTCAGGTGTGAGGTACTGCTGAAGCAAAGATTTCGCTCCCAGCCAGAAATCCACTCATCAGAATTCAGTGCATCCCTCACATTGCACAGCTGAAGTAGCAGGAAAGAATTTAAATGACACATATATGGTTTGGGGGCCTTTTTTTTTTGTTGACTGACTCATGGTTTTTTTTTTGACTGGCCATGATTTTTGACATTATGTGCCCATGTGTTGTGAATCTCCTGGTGATGGTTATATTAAAAAAAAACACTGAATTTGACCCTTTTTATCAGCTTATTGATACACACCCTTCTCGGGTATGCCTAAACCTGCTTATGTGGGACCGTTCACTGGCAGGTAGTAACAAGGAAGAACCCTGTTAGCACCTGCAAGTAGTATTTGCAGATTACAAGCAATGCCAGCACTTCACTAACACCAGTCTGAGGTCAGTGACCAGCTGAAACAAGATTAAAGAACTGAATATGGAGCATTCAGGTTGGAATTTTATTTACTTTTTTTTTTTAATTTCTACCACCATGAGTCTTCCTTACAGCAGTTTAAGTTTTGATGCGCACCAAAGATCTACCTTAAGAGGAACAGTAGCTTCGTGGCATGTATGTATTTCTGATGGCAGAATATGTTCCTCAAACAATCGTGCCTTATCACAACACTCACTTAAAATTTTACATTGAACTGTATCATGGGGCCCTTTTGAAATCCCTTCATTAATGATGACTATGTAAGTACCATTAGATGTGAGACATTCCCATATTGCTCGTAGGAGTTACCATTTAATTCTATTACAATCTACTCCACCATTTGTGTAATCACTCCTGACACTTTACATTTTGTTTTGTAAAACATTATTGTCTGCCACAGAAAAAAAAACAAAAACCCCACAAACCAAACCAGATGATACTTTGTTTGTCATTGCAATCTGATTGGAAAGGTGTTATTAACTAAATATTTTACACAGTTATACTTGGAAACTCACTGACAGCTCTTGGGAGAGAATACATTACTGGGGACAGTTGTTATTTAGATCTCTGAGGCAACACAGAGACACTAATAAATCTCCCACACGTTCCTGTGAATTCGGCAGGTATTATTCAGCATTTGTGGGAACAGTTTGGATTTTCTTCGGCCTTTAATAGAGCCTAGCGTGGTTCGGTGTGGTCCATGACTCTAGAAAGCCACTATAAAGGAACACTTGCGCTTGCTGTATCCCAGTAGGTGAGTTTGCAAATTAACAGGGAGTGGAACCGAGAAGTTGCTTCCCACACAAGACATGATACAGCGTTCTGGTTCAGTACCTAGGCTGAGCTTTTTGCCAGAAGGAGAAGGCAAAGACTTTTTACCAGAGCTGGGATTTTCATTTTCTGTTTCTCACTCATTTATTTTTTTGTTATCAGAAGTGTTTCATGCAGAGAAAATATTCCTTTACAAGATAAGTAAGCAGAAACAGCTATAAAATTCCAACTGCCTATAGTGAGAGTTTTAACCAAGTCCCTTAATTAGCAGCAAGTTTCCTTTCACAGAAGTTATACTGGCAGTCGTCCTCACGTTAATACTGTTGTCCTCACCTTCTGAGCAGAGAGAAGGACCATATCACAAACAAAGAGATTTTTTTCAGAAATTATTATAATAAACTTGATTATTATTATTTTTTCAGCATTTTCACTGTAGTGCCCATAAGGAATTTCATCAAGAAAGATGTTTTCAAAGTTCTTACCTTGGTCACAGAGGAACACAGTGAATTAAATTTCCCTCCTCAGTGTGCTCTTTGAGCTGGGGCTGTGGCTTCTGAGCACTCTGAAGGTAAATGGGATGTGACTAGTGATCAAATTGCTTCATAAGGAAAAGTTCATCACAGTCAGGGTAACTGCTTAAAATGCAACATAAACAGACAGGTCCGTGTCAATATTTTGACTTTGCGTAAACAATTCAAGCCGTATCATTCTGCAGATAATGACACATAATGCTGCATAAAATACTCTGAAAGGGCTTTACTGAATTAATCTGCATTTGAGCTCTGGAAGA